GTTTCTTACAAAGTGAATAATGTAAATGTAACTTCTTTTGGTAACTTAAATCCCTTGCCCAAACTTCATGGATATGTTCATATGAAAACAACTTATCTAAAGGAAGGAACTACTAAAAAGGAAGTAAGAAGAAGAAAATAACACCTTTATTTTCCACATAGTAGACCAAAGGGCTTTAAGAAAAGACTTTTAGACTTATATACCACTCCATGCTGCTTTACAGCCCTCTCTAAGCAGTTTACAGAGTCAGCCTATTGCCCGCAACAGTCTGGTTCATCATGTTACCGACCTCAGAAGGCTGGAAGGCTGAGTCAACCTTGAACAGGACAGAATTGAACTACTGGCAATCAGGAGGATTCGCCTGCAATACTGCATTCTAGTCACTGCACCTCCACAGCTCCTTGTGCATTCATCTTTTATATGTTTAAAATATAAAATGTTTACATCATTCATTCATCTGTTATATTTTTCTCAGTTACTGTTGTCCCTGGTAATTCTGACTGCTTATATTCTCACACTTTGTCCTGGACTTACTTCGTTTATTTTTCAAGGAAATAAAGCAATAACTGCTTTCGTTTATTTATACTAGCCATGCAAAAACAAATGTTTCCTTTAGTTCCTTCAATAGCCCTGAAGGGTGCTAACTGAGGTTACATCTGCATTCTTCAACTGTTTTATCTTTCCTCTTTCTCCTTTCCTTCCTTTTGGCTCAGCCAGTCTCAAAAAACATATAAAATAAATCATATAGGGAAGAATGTAAAAATAAAATAAAAGTTCTATGTAGAGAATGGAGAAAATCTAAACTATCAAGAATTGTCAACAACCTGATGGCACATAATCAATTTATCAAATGCAGAGAATACAAAAGCAAGGGCTGTTCTGCTATAAAGAACCAAGAGGCAAAGTCAAAATTAGGCAGTGTTGTAGTTAAAATGCAAGGCAGCAAATAACAAAGAAGAGTGAGCATTTGTCCTAATGCCAGAAAAGGGATTAGGAACTCAGCAAGCACTTTTTACAGGGACCATACCTGAATATACTCTTCTTATGCAAGGAGCATCTTTGTATATACCAGTAGTCCTTTTAAAAACCTGTAATTTAAGCTTTGGCCTGAACAGCACAATTAGAAGCACTTGAACTATTCGTTTTTTAAAAAAAACTTCTTCCTATTGAGTGTGATTGGGTATACTTAAAGGTCAGTTCATTGTACTGAGAAGTGTGCATCATGAAATGGGCTTGATAATGTTCATTTTGGTGACAGGAAAGGTGCAAATCTTGGTTATTCTTACAATGTATGCTTTATTAGATAAAATATAGTGTATAATTGTCATATGATGTAGGTAACTGCCAACGATACGGAACCCCGATCTTGGCTGAAGACTCTGACCTTTCTCTGTTCTATTAAAAAGTAAAAGGTTTTTCTCCTCAGATTCTGATCTGTGCTATTTTAGAGTAAAGATTTTTCCTCAGGAAACTTAACACGCATTCAACTATATGCTTGACATAACCCACCTGCATGCTTTAGAAGCTTACTTGTATTAGCCAATTACTGCATTGTTACTAGGCTGCTACCCCTGGGGTAAACCAATCATTGGACTTGTATGTATAAGTAAACTGCTACATTTAGAGTATAAGAATAAACGCAGTTGACCGAGAAAAGAACTTCTTGACTCGGAAGACGCTTGACTCAGGAATAATGTGTATGCGTCTTTGATTGCAACAATATACTAGTGGAGATAAATTTTAGCACCAGAATTACCACATATTAGCAGAGATAAAATGTATCAGAATAACAGAGTTGGAAGGAAACTTGGAGATCTTCTAGTTCAACCCCATGCTCTAGCAGAAGACCCTACGCCAGGGCTTTCCCAGCCTCCGAGACATGGACCAGTATCAGTCCGTGGGCTGTTAGGAACTGTGTTAAAGAGCTGGAGGTGGGTGGATGGATGGCGAGTGAGGGAACTTTCATCTGTATTTGCAGCTACTCCCTAACGTTAGCATCACCACATCAGCTTTACCTCAGATCATCAGGCATTACATTCTCATAGGAGTGCAAACCGTATTGTAAACTGTGTACATTTGTGATCTAGGTTGCATGTTTGTTCTCCACCCTCCATCCCCGGTCAATGGAAAAATTGTCTTCCACAAAACTGATCCTTGGTGCCAAAAGGTTGGGGAACTCTGCCATATACCATTCCAGTCTCTTCTTAAAAGCCTCCAGTGATGAAGCACCCACAACTTCTGGAGGCAAGCTGTTCCACTGGTTAATTGTTCTCAATGTTAGGAAATTTCTCCTTAGTTCTAGCTTGCTTCTCTCCTTGATTAGTTTCCATCATTTCTTGTCTTACTTTCTGGGGCATAGGAAAATAGGTTGACCCCACCCTCTCTAATTCTCTGCTCATATATGGCAATTGTCAATTATTAGCAGAGATAAAATCATCATCATCATCCTCTTTTAACAACCCCATAATCCCTGCAGGGTGGAGTCTGGGCAACTGAATGGAGCAGAGTGTTTACTGGTTGGATGACCTTCTTGTCACCAATGCGGAGTTTTATTCAGCACATATATTCTCAGTGTGCCCAGAGAGAGAAATATCTGTCTCTACCTAGGATCAAACTCACAGCCTCCTGAATGTGAGGCAACGACTCCAACTCTAAGCCACCACAACACTATTAGCAGAGATAAAATATAACGATAGAATTAGCATGATTTCACGGGGCTAAATTTATTCAATTTGTAATATCTCCTTTGCTTACCTGCTTTATAATGCCTCATTTACAGATGTTTATTTGAAGAGAAGCGGCAAATGGCAGATTGTGTATAAATCCAACTTTTAGCATTATGAATCTTCTTTATTTTATTTAATTCAGGTTGAATATGAAGGCTTGAAACATGAGATAAAACGATTTGAAGAAGAAACGGTGTTGCTTAATAGTCAGCTAGAAGACGCCATCCGGTTGAAGGAGATTGCAGACCATCAGCTAGAAGAAGCCCTGGAAACATTAAAGAATGAAAGGGAGCAGAAGAACAATCTGAGGAAGGAACTGTCTCAGTATATCAATTTAAATGATAGCATGTACAATAATCACATTAATATCTCAGTAGATGGATTAAAGTTTGGAGAAGATGGGAATGAACCTAATAACGATGACAAGATGAATGGACACATTCATGGACCTCACATGAAGCTGAATGGGGATTTTCGGACGCCCAGCGTCAGGAAAGGAGAATCGTTGCACCCGGTCTCTGATCTCTTCAGTGAGCTGAACATCTCCGAAATGCAGAAACTGAAGCAGCAGCTCATGCAGGTAACATGGAAGATTCAAAAGATTCTTTGTAAGGAGAGGAAAGGGTGCACTGCCGGGGGTTCGCAGGGGTTCAGGAGAGCCCCTAGCCAAGATTTTGTGCAGTTTGGAGAGCCCCCAAATCCCACTCCTGGCTGGCCCTGACCACCCCTCCCCACTCCTTCCCTCCCAGGTGTCCCCACGCAGTCCATTTTGGATGCAGGTAAGTACAGGGCACGCACGGAGGCTCGGGGACGATGAAAAACGGGTCTCCCAGTAGTTCGGGAAGGCGAGAAATGGGCCTGTTTCAGCTTCCAGAGAACCTCCGGAGCTTGGGGAGGCCGTTTTCACCCTCTTGGAGGCTCAAGGAAAGCCTCCAGAGCCCGGGAAGGGCAAAACCGCCTTCCCGCCATGGTGCAGGAGGCCACACCCACCATGGCCACGCCCACTGAGCAGAGAACCCTTTACTAAAATTATTGAAGCCCACCCCTGAAAAAGGCCACCTTACTTACAAATGTTCATATGACGTGCAAAGATACCTAAAGCATTTATTTCTCTGAGAAAAATTATTTGCAGAAAAGAAGTAAACATGCCTTGAAAAAAAAAGCTGCTGCTTCTCCACTTCAAATATCTTAACAATATGGTTTCTTGTTTTGTGCATTTTTCACTTTGGAGTCCTTAGTGGTCCTTGAGCTTGGTAGTTTTCTTGCAGACTGCTTCATTACCAAACTAGGTAACGTCATCAGTCCTGATGACGTTACCTAGTTTGGTAATGAAGCGCCTGCAAGAAAACCACCAAGCTCAAGGACCACTAAGGACCCCTCAGCTACACATATTCTATCAATGTTTCACTTTCTTTGTCGGATTCAGTTTTGAATTGCTTCTGCCATTTTACTACTACTTTTTTTGTAGCCCACCTCACACAAAATAATAAAAATAATCCTGTTGGATTGAGCCAAGGTCCACCTAAGCCTAGCATTTGTTTTTCACAATGGCCAGTAGAGAGATCACAAGCCAGAATAGTAGACATTCCTTCTCCCACACTTATTCCCTGCAGCTGCTATTTAGAGGCAAGTTGTTCCCAAAGAGACCCCAAGAACTGCTCTCACTGCCTCACTCTGCAGTAGTTGTAGCTTCCAAAATGTTTTTCAAGAGAAGCCCCATGTAGACCACATTGAAACAGTCCGAGAGTGAGATGATGAGGGCTTGAGTGACTGAGCGTGTATTAAAGTTGGTCATTTTCTTCGTATTAGTGTTACATTTATATCTATCTTAATACTTTATAACTTTATGTTTAATACCTCCCCATTCATTTGGGAAAGGCAAGAGTGGTCAGTCACTTGCAGTTTGCAAACCCAACTGAATGGACAAAGGCCCAAGTTATGGCTTTCTGATGCTAACAAAGATAATTGCTGGCTTTGGTTTGTTTACTGGGAGAAGACAATTGTTATATTGCTCTCTATCTGCATCTGAATGGGTGTCCTTGCTTTAAGGCAAGAGAGCTTATTTACCTCCTACAGTCCTACTTAACAGATATTTTGATCAGTATTTCTGATGTTCTTTACAGAACCTGATTGTCTTTTGTAATGGAATACTTTACGGGTCTATTTTGCACTTTAATATCCTGTTCCTGTCCCATCTTTTGCCTTTCTACTTTTTGCCCCATTGTTTACATGACTAAAAAAAGGGATTTCCTGTACCTGCTGTGAGTAGGCAGGTCCAATACTGTGAACCAATGAGTTTTTATGTTTTCCTTCTGTCCCATTTATGAATGGTGATGCTGAAAGTGTTGCGCAATTATTCCCAAGCATACTTTTCTTCCATATAGAATGAATTGGGAAAAGCTATCTACGTCTTTTATGTTCTGATTGGGTGTGGGAACAGCAGGCTAGGAATCCAGAGTTCCTGAGATTTATTTATTTTATTTTGTCAATTGATTATAAGATAACAGGTATAAGTATCAACATAGTTATGAATACATGAAATGGATACATATAAGGAAAAAAAAAACAATAGGACAGGGACGGTAGGCACATTGGTGCGCTTATGCATGCCCCCTACAGACCTCTTAGGAAAGGGGTGAGGTCAATAGTAGACAGTCTAAGGTTATCCCTTATACAGATAATCATTTAATGGCAATTGCCATGTCTTATGTTAATGCATTCCTCAAGTTAATTCCTTGTTCCAGTAAGATTCATTGGATGACTTGTGGTCTCAGTATTTGTACAGGGAAAGAAAACAAATTCTTCCTGTTGATTTTCTCCATACCATGTACAACTCCTATACTTTGAACATGCAGCCCTTTAATAATAATTTTGTAAACCTAAAGAACCTTTTTTCTTGTAGGCCAACGATACAATCCCTCTACTCACTTTGGTTGCCCTCTTTTACATTTTTTCCAGCACTGTTTTATCCTGCAACCCAGAATTGTGTATCAACTTCTAGATTTTATAACAGCATCTATGATCTTGGTGGTTTGATTTTCAATCATTTTCTTTGGAGGGGCTTCACAGATTTCACACATGCTGCATACTAAGTAGTCATTATGAGATTGCAGCAGGATATAAATTGAACCAGTCAATCTTCAGCTGTGTTCTGGTTATATTTCCATTAAACGTTTTCATAAATTATTTTGTATGCATCAAGAGGTTTGAAAAAGTAATGACTACACTGCAGCAAACTAAGTTTGGTTTCATATCACTCATCAAACAAGTTAAAATGTTTCAAATGTTTACATTTGAAATGGTTGATTTTTGTCAGTGTAAGTTTTATAGTTAAATTGTTAGATTTTTTTAAAAATGCACTAAAATATTCATTTGAAACTGTACATTGAAGTTTTTCAAGGTTGAAAAAATTATGGACAATGTTTGATACCCCTTAGTCTCATTTTAATAGCTGACTGTATTCATGAGGAGGTAGAAGGAGTGACTTACAACAGTTCACTTAGTGATGGTTCAAAGTTACAACGGCATTGAAAAAAGTGACTTATAACCATTTTTTTCACACTTACCACCATTGCATCACCCCCATGGTCATGTGATCAAAATTCAGATGCTTGGCAACTGACTCACACTTATGACAGTTGCAGTGTCCTGGGGCCAGGCGATCACATTCTGTGACCTTCAGACAAGCAAAGTCAAACGGGGAAACCAGATTCACTTAACAACCACATTACTAATTTAACAACTGCGGGGATTCACTTAACAATTGTGGCAAGAGAAGTCATAAAATGGGGCAAACCCATTTAATAAATTTCTCACTCGGCAACATAAATTTCAGGCTCAGTTGTGGTTGTAAGTTGAGGACTGCCGTTGGTCGTGTTGTTGATCAGCTTGCACAGCTGTTGCTGCAGCATTAGATGCTTTAGGATAGCGTTTCTCTCAAACTTGGCAACTTGAAGATTAATGGCTGGGGAATTCTGGGAATTAAAGCCCACGCTTCTTCCGGTTGCCAAGACTGAGAAACTTTGCTTTACGATAAGGACAAAACAGTAATAAAAGAGACATACCACTCAAGCTATTTCTATTATCTTAAGCATTTAAGTTTTTTTCAGGTGATAGAAAAGCGAATCATGTTTTATTTATTTATTTAAAAAGACTTATATTTTATACACAGTCCACTTGTCCGCCAAGTAGCATTTGAAATAGTGGATTTGAGAAAGCTTGGATTCTTTTAGCTGTATGCGGTTGATTCTGAAGTACGACTGAATGAAGAGGACTATTGCTTCTTGAACTGTGCAGCCATCCATGCACAGATACATGTAGTCCTTGACTTACAACCACAGTTGGGACCAGAATTTCTGTTGCTAAGCAAGGCAATTGTTAAGTGAGTCAGACTTCATTTTGCTACCTTTCTTTGCCGCGGTTTTAAAGAGAATCAAGCAGTCATTAAACAAAGCCGGCTTACCCCATTGAGTTTGCTTGTGGGTACCCTTTGAGAGCTTCATGCAATGAAATTTCATTTGAACGTATGCCAATTAGTGTATATCCAAATTGACAATGAAGTTATTCTAAGTCTAAGAAGCCAGCTAGGAAGGTGTTGTGGCTCCTCGACTGCTGGCCGAGCTAGCTGCAGAGTCAGATGAGGTGGAGGTAGAAGGAGAGCCTGGGCCAGATTTGGAGCGTTTGGAAGGCTCTGATAAGGAAACAGCATCCGAGACAGAGGCAGAGCCTGGGCCTTCTGTTCTCCCCCAGGTGGAGTGGCAGCTGTCTTTGGGGCCTGAGCTGAGTGAGGGGGACAAACAGATGGGGGCTATCCCAGATGCACATATGTGCAGAGAGGAAAGGAGAGGAGAGCAAAGGAAAGCAATAAGCCGGCTCTCAGGGAAAGGCAGACGCAGACAATAGCCAACCCCTCCCTGGCTGGGCAATAAATAGGAGGTGTTTGGGAGTGACCAGTTGTCATTTCCAGTATATAGCAAGCAATTTGGATTTCTTGGCTAAATAGGTTTGTTGGAACTAATTACATTTGATTTTTTGTTTATCCCTGTGAATAAAAGACTGTTACTGCCCTGTTATAAAAAGTGGGTTGTTTTACTCATGCATAAACATTTTATCACTACTTGCGAAGGCTGGGTGAGAACAGACGGTGGCAAATTGCAACCACATGATCCTGGAACATGCAACCATCCTAAATACATGCTCATTGCCAAGAACCCAAATTTCACATGACTATGGGCATGCTGCGACAGTCTGAGTGCAAGGATCAGCTATAAGTTACTTTTTTTCAGTGCCATTGTAACTTCGAACAGTTGTTGAACAAACGGTGGTAAGTCAAGGATACTTGTACAGGTAGTTCTCGACTTACAACAGTTCACTTAATGATCGTTCGAAGTTACAACGGCACTAAAAAAGTGAGTTATAAGCTTTTTGCATTCTTACAACTGTTACAACATCCCCATGGTCATGTGATCCAAATTTGGATGCTTGGCAACCAACTCCTATTTATGACAGTTGCAATGTCCTGGGGTCATGTAATCTCCTTTTGCGACCTTCTGACAAGCAAAGTCATTGGGATAGCCAGATTCACTTACCAATTTAAGAACTTAACAACTGTGGCAAGAAAGGTCATAAAATGGGGCAAAATTCACTTAACAAATGTCTCACTTAGCAACAAAAACAATCGGCTCAATTGTAGACAGAAGTTGAGGACGACCTGTGTAAGGTTCAATGTTTAAACTGCACCTTTAATTATAGGGGCCCCTAGTTCTTGTACCCCAGATTCTTTCTGGAAATATTTACATCCTTTTTCTGGGTTATTGCAGGTGGAGCGTGAGAAAGCTATTCTGCTGGCTAATCTTCAGGAATCTCAGACCCAGCTGGAGCACACCAAAGGGGCCCTCACTGAGCAGCACGAACGAGTCCATAGGCTCACTGAACACGTCAACGCAATGAGGGGTCTGCAAAGCCACAAAGAGTTGAAAGAAGTCGATTTTGAAAAAGGCCGAGATTCTGGGGAAGAAACCCATGATTATGAAGTGGACATCAATGGCTTGGAGATCCTAGAGTGTAAATACAAAGTAGCTGTTACCGAGGTGATTGACCTCAAAGCTGAAATCAAAGCCTTAAAAGAGAAGTACAATAAATGTGTTGAAAACTACACCGAGGAAAAGGACAAGTACGAGAGCAAGATCCAAATCTATGACGAGCAGGTCTCCAGCTTGGAAAAGTCAACGAAGGAAAGCCATGAGAAAATGGTACAGATGGAAAAGGAGCTGCAAAGGATTACAGGCGTTGCCAACGAGAACCATAATACCCTCAATGCCGCCCAAGATGAGCTGGTGACTTTCAGCGAAGAGCTGGCTCAGCTCTATCATCATGTCTGTCTCTGTAACAATGAGACTCCTAATAGGGTTATGCTGGATTACTACAGGCAAAGTCGAGTTACTAGAAGTGGGAGCTTAAAGGGACCTGATGATCCAAGAGGACTCCTTTCTCCACGCCTTGCCAGGAGAGGAACGGCACTCCCTGTAGAAGTCAGGGTGCCAACAGAACAGGGTTCAAAAGAGAGCACAGAAGCCAATAAAGAGCCAAGTCCAACAAAGACCCCCACTATTTCTCCTGTCATTACAGCCCCTCCTTCTTCCCCGGTTTCTGACACCAGTGACATTCGGAAAGAGCCCATGAATATTTACAACCTCAATGCCATAATACGGGACCAAATCAAGCACTTGCAGAAAGCGGTAGACCGGTCACTGCAGCTGTCCCGGCAGCGTGCAGCAGCCCGTGAACTGGCACCCATGATTGATAAGGACAAGGAGGGTTTAATGGAAGAAATAATGAAACTAAAGTCCCTGCTGAGTACAAAACGGGAACAGATAGCAACCCTCCGGGCAGTGTTGAAAGCCAACAAGCAGGTAATTTGGAAACTCTAATTTCCTTTTTTTTAATAATGAGGTGTATAATTTATGGATGTTAAAATAGCTTAAAGGGCAATTTTACAATTGATTTTAAATCTTCTTGTTGCTGTGTTTACTTTTGAGCTTTTTGTGAAATTAAACAGTGGGATATTAGGTTTGTATGAGGCCCCAGAAGACAAAAAAGCAGGTACATGTTGCTAATTACTTTTCAAATCAACTTGGATTAAATTGGTACCATTATTCTGATACTGTTAGAATATTCTGGTCTGGTTTCAATCTGGATCATGAGAGAAATATGGCAGGGGTAGGATTCTACCAGTTCGGACCGGTTGAGGGGAACCGGATGTTACATTTACATCAGGTTCGCCAAACTGGTATTTGAACTGACCGTCGTCGTCCCCCTCCCCGGCCCATTTTTGATGCATGTAAATGCAGGGTCTGTGCGGATGCTCTGGGAGGGGGAAAAATGGGCCTTCCGGAAGTCTGGAAATGGGCCTGTTTCTGGCTTCCGGAGAGCCTCCAGAGCCTGGGGAAAGCCATTTTTACTCTCTCAGAGACCCGAGGGAAACCTGTGGACCCTTGGGAAGGTGAAAACGGCCCTCCCGGAAGTTCCAGTAGGCCACGCCTACCATGGCCACGCCCACCCAGCAACTGGGCAGCGAACCTGTTGCTGGGTTTTTTGAACCCCACCCCTGAAATATGGTATAGGGTCTCCTGCTTGAGCAGGGGTTGGACTAGAGGACCTCGAAGGTCCCTTCCAGCTCTATTCTGATTGATTGTTTGATTGAAATGCACTGGATGAGGCTGCTTGGAAAGAAAGTACAGGTATTCCTCAGCTTACGACCACAAATGAGCCCAAAATTTCTGTTGTCAAGTGAAACGTTTGCTAAGTGAACCTTGCCCCAGTTTACAACTTTTCTTGTCACAGTTGTTAAGTGAATCACTGCAGTTGCTCAGTTAATAACACGGTTGTTAAGTGAATCTGGCTTCCCCTTTGACTTTGCTTGTCAGAAAGTCGCAAAAAGGTGACCTCATGATCGAAGGACGCTGCAACCATCATAAATATGAGTCAGTTGCCAAGCATCTGAATCTTGATCCCGTGACCACGGGGATGTTGAAATGGTCAGAAGTGTGACAAATGGTCACAATTCACTTTTTCAGTGCTGTTGTAACTTTGAGTGGTCAATAAATGAACTGTTGTAAATTGAAGACTACCTATAGTTTATTTGATAGCATAGAATTCAACAATTGAGGTAGTTACAAATTAGGGGTGTGGTTGAGACTGGTCACATTATAGGAAAATTGCTCCTTTGTGAAACTTGTGAATGTGTCATCTGAAATCTTTATTCTGGTGGGCATGCAGCTCCAGTGGAGGAAATTGTCCTTATCTCACTTCACTGTGTATATAGATCTTTTCCCTTTTATGTGCGCCTATAAACTAATCTTGGGGCACCACATTTGTGCATTCAGGAAATCTCTGTATGTTAAAGGGATTTTACCTGTTTTCTATTCTTTGTGAGAGAGATGTTTTTATCAGTTTTAGCCTGGCTGAAACAATCTGGCTATTAAATATCGGCCAAAAGGAATTTAAGGAATTCTGCTCCATTATTTCTTCTTACTTACAATCTGGTATATTCTGGCTTCAGGTGAGGCTGTGAGTTTCATAAATAAAGAGGGTTACAGGGCTGGCTTATGAATATGATATTTCATCCTACAATACTATTTCATGAAGTTCCTGATTATGGGATTGTTCATCTTTAAAAGGTCTAAATTTCAGAAATTAGATCTCTATAGTTTAGATATTTTGAGATATTGTGACATTGTTTGATTTTTTTTTAACACGTCGTGGATTCTTTATTGTTGAAATATATCCTTGATGTTTGTTGAGACATTTCTCAGGAACATTATATTAATTTCCAAAATGAAAATAAAGTATGGGTGTTAAAATTGAAAAGTTAGCATCTCTTAGTGAAAAAAACCAATGTTGCAGCCAAATCTACAGTTTTATACTTAACTGGAAAAATTTACAGAGCTGCCAACTGGAAAGTAAAATCTAAGAACCAAAACAAATCGCCTTATGCTACCTAGTGGCCAGTAGAAGTGAAAACTGGGTATTGCTTTTGCCAAAAGAAATAAGAAAATAATCCTTTGATTTTAATTTTAATCATGATTTCTCATCTATTTTATGCTTAGTTCATCTGGTTTAAAGCTATATACAGCATGCATATATAGGATATATATTTTTATAATTAATATGATTAATTATGCATATTGACCTTCAGAACTCCTGGTGTTGTATAATAAATAAGCAAATGCTCTCATATTTAGAATTTTGTTTATTGAATTTTGTGGGGGGTATACTAATTGCATTCTGATCAGTAAAGTTTATCCATGATCTTGTAGTGCTATTTCTACTCAGAGTGGATAGTCCTTGTCTTACGACTACAATTGAGCTCAACATTTCTGTTGTTAAGTGAAACATTAGTTAAATGAGTTTTACCTCATTTTATAACCTTCTCTGCCACAATTGTTAAGTGAATCACTGCAGTTGCTGAGTTAGCAACATGATTGTTAAATGAATCTGGTTTCCCCATTAACTTTTCTTGTTAGAAGCTCGCAAAAGTTGATCAAATGACCTCGGGGCACTGCAACCGTCACAAATATGAGGCAGTTGCCAATCATCTGAATTTTGAACATGTGACCATGGGGATGTTGCAGTGACTGCGTGAAAGATGGTCATGAGTCACTTTTTTTATTGCTGTTGTAACACTGAATGGTTACTAAATGAACTCTTGAAAGTCAAGGACTACCTATAATAGTGTGATTTAATTAAAAGGAGTATAAATTTCTATCTTGTATCCATATATATGGCTAATTGCTGATCAGCTTAATTTCTGGGCTGGTCTATATTTTCCATATGTTTATACTGCCATAGGATTAATTGTTTTACTTTTCTCTTTCTTCAGTGACAAATTTGTCTGTTTGTTATTTTAATAACATAGGTAAAACATTTCAGAAAGCATATAACTGATTTTTTTCCTGTATTACTCAATATATACCCAATATTGTCCTAATTCCATAATTATGAAAGCCTAAATACATACTACCACTACATGGACATACCTCAATCCTGCACTAGCATATATTATGTGTTGAATGTTGGTATGATTCTTACAGTATAAATCAGTCTTTCCCATAAATCAGCCTTCCTAGCCTGGTGCCCTTCAGATGTGATGGGAGAGAAGTCTAACTTAAAATTATCTTAGTTTTAACTATAGTATATATATCCTTCAAATTCTCCATTCCAATACATAAAATATTTTCTTAAAATCTTCTACTATAATCACATGTCACTAAAAAGTTCCTTCCATTTGAAATTCCTAAACTTTATTCTCCCTCCCCATCTTTTAACATCTTAATGGAGAAGAAAAGAAGGAGATTTTCTCAACATGTATCTCCTTTCCAAGTCGATGTTTTTCAACCTTGGCAACTTAAGATGTGTGGCCTTCAACTCCCAGAATTCCTTACCCAGCATAGTGAGGTATTCTGGGAGTTGAAATCCATAAATCTTAAGGTTGTCAAATTTAAAAAACACTGTTCTATATTGTTCAGTTGAGGAAGTCTTCTTGCTTCCTTTTAGGCCCTTTATGATTAATTATATTAGGGTTACCTTTCTTTCCAGCTAAGAAAAAAAATTCCAAGTTTTCTTTCATGCATGTTTTTAAGACCCGTATCTTTGTTTCAGACAGCAGAAGTGGCCCTGGCGAACCTGAAGAATAAATATGAGAACGAGAAAGCCATGGTAACAGAAACGATGACTAAACTGCGCAATGAATTAAAAGCTTTGAAAGAAGATGCAGCAACCTTCTCATCCTTGAGAGCCATGTTTGCAACCAGGTACAGAAACAAAGTGTTAAGACAGGAGTTTAACTGGTTGAGCAGGAGTTTAGGTTTGGCTCTGCATGGACAAAGAGTCAAGAACCAAGTCTCCTTGAGTCACACTTCTATTCAGATTTGAACAAAGATGGGTCTTCCCATAACCCAGAATGATGTCAAGCTTTTATTCTTTCCTGGGAAGCTTTTATTCTTTACTGGGTGTCACAAAAAGGAACTAACAAAAGTCTGCTCAGCAGTAGGTAAGCAAAGTACCGAGAGACCCAAACACCCTCCTCCTAGTAATCAACATTTAAGCATGTTCTTCTAAGAACTCCTGTGGTTTTGCTTATCAGTCTTCTCCATATCCAGGACAAATGCTTCCCATTTCAGCCAATTCAATAGAATTCTTTATTGGCCAGGTGTGATTGGACACACAAGGAATTTGTCTTTGGTGCAGATCCTCTCAGTGTACATAAAAGAAAAGATACATTCGGTCAAGAATCATAAGGTACAACACTTAATAATAGTCATAGGGTACAATAAGCAATCAAGTCATACTAGGAAACAGTCAATAAAAGGATACAAGGATACAAGCAACAAAGTTACAGTCATAAGTGGTAGGAGATGGGTGAAAGGAAGGATGGGAAGATTAATAGTAATAGTGATGCAGACTTAGTAACTAGTTTGACAGTATTAAGGGAATTATTTGTTTAGCAGAGTGATGGCGTTCAGGGAAAATTGTTCTTGTATCTAGTTGTTCTGGTGTGCAGTGTTCTAATAGCATCATTTTGAGGGTAGGAATTGAAACAGTTTATGTCCAGGATGTGAGGGGTCTGTAAATATTTTCACAGCCCTTTTTTTGACTCATGCAATTGTGGAAAGGGAATTTCATGAAGGCAGTAGTGTCACACACAAAAACAGGAAAAGCCCAAGGGGAACATCAGGTCAGCCAGAAAACAAACTTACATAGGAAAAGGAATCAGATAAAAAGTATTAAAGAATCCCTATAGACAAAAGCCTAAGTAATTAAGAAAACTAGACAAATAGGAAAAGGAAACAAAAGTTAATTTAGAAAACCCTTACAAACACAGGACATACCAAATAAGCAAAACAAACAGACAAAAGACACAAAATATAAATTACAAAAGGGACAGACAGGAGATTGCCACAGAACAAATATGAAAAACTATCTAAAAGAGATTACAGAAAGCCAATAATACAATCTGGCCACCCCGCGGAGTTTGCCTTCCGCACCCCGCGGAGTTTGCCCTCCGATGGAAATAAAGACAAACTCAAACAGGATTTGAAACATTAGGCACAAATACAAACTCTCACACAAAATCAACTTACAAAGGGAGAAAAGGGTATAAAAAACCAGGGACTTACCATAAGAAGCTAGCTAGCCCAGGAACGCAGACTTCTCGCTGTTCTCCGCCTTCCTGAAAAATAAAAAGATCCAGCTTTCAAGCAGTTGTCCGTATCCTTGCGCCGGAGCTTTCCCAGCAGGAAAATCTAATCCTCGAAAGAAAGGCATTTTGACACCTTTCAATACAGTATACAGGTCCTCAATGGAAGGCAGGTTGGTACTAATCACATCCCAGACATAAACTGTTTCAACTCCTGCCTTCAAAACGACGCTATAGAGCACTGCGCACTAGAACAACTAGACACAAGAACAGTTTTTTCCCAAAAGCCATCACTCTGCTAAACAAATAATTCCCTCAACACTGTTCAACTATTTACAAAGTGTACATTACTATTACTGTTAATCTTCTCACCACTCCTTATCACCCATCCCCTCCCACTTGACTGTTTCCTAGTATGATTTGATTGTTGATTGTACCCTATGACTATCATTAAGTGTTGTATGTTATGATTCTTGATTCTTAATGAATATACCTTTTCTTTATGTATACTGAGAGTATTTACACCAAGACAAATTCCTTGTGTGTCCAATCACACTTGGCCAATAAAGTATTCTATTCTATTCTAATTGTTTTTTCTGCAGTCCTAACTATCCTCTGAAGTCTGTGTCTGTCTTGTAGGGTTGCAAAACCAAACCAGACAGTTATAGAAGTGCAGATGACAAACTCAATAATTCATCTGTAGAACTGCATCAGCAGCTCCTTGGGCAGCTTGTGCTTTCTGAGTTGGCACAGAAAGAACATTATTTGTTGTGCTTTTTTGATGACGTTTTTGATGTTAGGTGTCCATTTTAGGTCTTGAGATATGATAGAACCTAGAAATTTGATTCTTTTCTGTCCATAGTATTAATTTGTGAAGGTCACAATAAAGTCAGTAGGGATGATTCCTTTCTGTTTCTTTTTTTAAAAAATAATAATAGAATTGTTAAATTATATTTATTAAATATTTATTTGGAATGTTAAAAATGAGCATAACCTGGACTCGTGAAGCTAATAAGAAAAGAAAGTGGACTTCAAGATGCATTGGTGGGGAAAAAATTACTTAAGAATACACTAGCAATTGGAAATGATCCAAGAATTATTTTATTGAAACTTAGCAAGTTACAATGAGTCTTTGTTCTTCAGCTATCAAGAGAGAAGAACATCAACCAAACTCTTATAAAGAGTTGTAGAGATTGAAAAATGAGCATATTACACATTTGGCCATTGACAAATAATTGTTTTAGCCCTGATAAGGGAGACAGTTAAGGGTACAAAGGAATTTGAGGGCCCCTGTGAGAAAGAACACTTTGTTATGCATAATACTTAGCCTGTGAGAACTTGGAATACCAATAAAGTTGATGGTTAATCTAATCTGACTCTCTCCCTCTTTGAAAATGGGAAGTTGTAAACATACAGATAGCGTATACAGAACAATAAAGATATCCTCCACAATATTTAAATGTTAGGACTTCTTAGTTTAGAACGAAGACAAAACATGATTTAAAAAAATATCCTCTAAAATGTCAACCTCTTTTAACCTCATACTTTATCAAATTAAACAAGGTTTTTTTAAAAAGTTATTTCTTTTCTTGGTTATTTTTAACTTTAAACAAGGTTTATGAGCTCCATAAAAGAAGCCGCTGCCCTTTGCTTTTAGTGAAAGGAAGCAATAAAAAATGTAAATTAATCTTTCAAAAGAAAGCCTTCACTTATACTATTTAGTACTATTTTACAATTCTATTGATGCTGTATGTTGCATGCACAAAACTACCATTCTTATTTCTCATTGGTTTTATTTTTTATAACCTCTTGCTTAAATTAGCCATTCAAACATTTGTAGAATTAAGTTCAAGCCCTTGATAAATAATGGGGTCAGACTCCACTTAAATGCAGCATAATGTGATTTTCTAAAACTTAGCTTGTAAAGGATATATAAGCAAACAGGCTCTATTTTCAATAAAATTACAGATGCTTCACTCAGTGACTAAAACAGTAACACAGTATTTGACTCTCTGGAAAAATGCCATTTTGGTTTCATGGATATTTTCTGCTTTAATTTGTAAATGATCATCAAACATTAAGATATTTTTTTAAAAAAAGAAATAGTCATCCTCCTATCCTGAAAACAGCCCAGGTAAATGTAGCAGAACTCACTTTCAAAGTAAGAACTATACTAGCAACAAAAGCCAACAAAAGAAAATTGCTTTCAGTACCTAGCTGGTCTATGAATACAAGGAAACATGGAAAATATTTTTAAATAACAAAATAACAGAAATAAATAAATGGAAATCGAAATAAATAAATAGAAACAGTGCAAAATACCTCTAGGCTTCATTTCACAACCGCTTTTCAGAATAGTTCTTTTTAAGTATTTTGCATATCAGTGTCTCATTTTGAGAAGCACCTCTTGATGTGTCTTTTCCATTCAGATAGTTCCGACTTATTGCAGAAGCTAACGTGTAATATGGAACAATTATTTGGCCTTTATGACCTGCTTTGAGATGGTCTTGCATATTTCCTATTCATAAATGTTAATACAGTACTTTCACATTAATACACGGCACAGAGGGAGAAGAGAGAGCTAAACACTTATTAGACACTATATATCAGAGGTCTCCAAACTTTAAGACTTGTGGACTTCCAGAATTCTGGGAATTGAAGTCCACAAGTCTTAAAGTTGCCAAGTTTGGGGACCCCTCCTATATATAATATATAGTATCATATTGGTAGCAACATGACAAGGTATTAAGAGTACAGATAGCCCTCACTTAATGACTGCAATTGGGACCATCAATTCCATGACTTAGCACCACAGTCACTAAGCGAAGCATCATGTGACAGCAACAGACTTATGATCTCACATCCCCTTTGATCATTAAGTTAATCATCATGGTCTTTAAGTGGGACTTAAAACTATTTTACTTCTGCTTTCTCTGTTAACTGCTTGCTGCAAGCCAGTTGCAAAGCACACCAATGCAGTCATGTGGCTATGAGATGCTGCCGCAGTCATAAATGCAAAGTTGCAAAGCTTTTTTTGTCAGGGTTCCAAGTAATAAATCCATGGCAAGCAACTAAATTCCTCAAAGAATACTTGTAGAGTTGTAATTGCAGGAATGTTCCAATTTTGGAATGGCAAACCTCAGATAAAGAATGTTTCCAAGCAAATACAACTCAGGCAAACAAAGTCACTAATCTATGGATAAAGGAGGATTAGAGAGGGGAAGTAGACATATGTTAGACTTTAACTAGAGATAATTAATTGTATAGATTACTGTACTAAACAGTAACGAAAGTTAAGCAGTAACCAAAGTTAACCAATGATGGAGGATAACTAAAAATGTATATAAATGCAAGACTATACTCCAATAAAGATCATCATAATTCAGTTGTTCATGATCAAACAACTCGACTGCCTCGACATTACAACAAATACTTTTATTGGAAATATCATATTGGCACATATCTGGTGAAAACCAACTCTGAAAACTCCTACAGTTTTCACCTAATTAAAAGTGAAAGATTTTCTACTGTCTCAAAACAATCTGTCACATGGTCCAGTCACTATGCGGTCTAACAACCGGGTAACATCTCTCTGCTTTCCTCCGTCCAGGTGTGAGAATGTCCTTGGTTCCCAAGAGAAAGTATAATGTTTTGGCTACAAAATCTCCTCTATCTCAAATCCCCCCTCCCTATCCCTCAGCTGCCATGTGGCAACACCGAAGTGGTCAAAATAGCTTCAATCAGGCCAGCTTCAGGGTTGACTTTTTTTTTTTTTACACACTGTCATAATTTCGAACTGTTGTTAAAGGACACAATTGATAATCAAGGACTATATTTCATTACAATGGGTCTCCCGGTGTGCTCTGACTTAGGCAGCTCTTTTAAGGCAGCTCTTTATGTTCTCTTAAAAGAGAACATAAAGAAGGATATAAAAGATTGTTCTTTTGATAGTGAAATGTGTGTATTAATGAAAATTGCCAGATCATAAGTTTATCCATCGGTCATTCACCCATATTTGTCAAGCAGAAAATGTTGTCTCGCTTGCAACAAAACCACAGCGGAGCTATGGGAAGCTAGAGGTTTAGCAAGATGGGTTAGCAAAGTATGTGTAATAATCCAGCTCCTTTAACCCAGCAACAGGGGAGGTGGGGGTAACTGGAATTCAAAGTAACCAATAAAATGCTGACAAGTTATATTTCTGTGGTTTAGTACTTCTGAAATGTATAAATGTGGTGTCAAATCTATAGAAAAGCGTTCAGATGTTGCCTTGGCTAAATAGCTCTGAACCTTTGTGCAAATAAAACCATTTCTGATTCCAAGGTCTGAGTCTTGTAATTTCCTGCAACACTTTCTGTTATGGATTTGTGTCCCCAGGTTATTCTTAGTTCATTTGGTTTGAAAGAAGAGTAGATAGATTATATCCATGGTAGAGATTAGGGCAAAAGATGTGCCAGAAAGAACAAAAGCTGCTCTAGAATGTGTGGAGGTGTAAACAACTCAAGGATAGTACTCCTTGAAGAAATGTCCATTTGGCAGATTTGCAACTTTAGCCAATGGGAAATTCCTTTTTATCTTGAAGTGCCTCGAAGGAATTTTGATGCTTCTGCAACCCAGAGGAATTGCTTTTTAGGACTCCTCTCTCCACTTTGAAAGTGTTGATGCTGGTGTCCACATGGTTCATGTTTGCAAAAGAAAAAAGGCTGGCCAGGACGTATGCCCAGACAGCTTAACCTGTTCCTCTTTCCTTCTTTCCCTCCAGATGTGATGAGTATGTCACCCAGTTGGATGAGATGCAGAGACAATTGGCAGCTGCAGAGGATGAGAAAAAAACCTTAGATTCTTTGCTGAGGATGGCTATCCAGCAAAAACTCGCCCTGACTCAACGCTTGGAAGACTTAGAGTTTGATCATGAGCAGTCCCGGCGGAGCAAAGGCAAATTTGGGAAAACCAAGATCGGCAGCCCTAAAGTAAGTGAGGAGGCATCAGCCACCGTGTCAACCATAGACACTTTCCTCCTGCATAGTCAGGGCCCACAACCACCAAACATACTGGTCAGCAGTGGCACTCAGAGGAAAAGGTATGCATGCAGTCCTATTTATAGTACAGTGCAATGGCCTGACTTGACTCAAGGTCATCCACTGAATTGCAAATACATTATATATATTTATGAGAAGAGGTTGGGGATGGGGAGGAGAGAAGTAATGGCTTTTCAAACTGTAAACACGGGCTGTTAATTCCATCTGTCATTTTCTTGTCCCTTTTGATACGGTCGTAGTTCATGCCGTCTTAGCATTTTCAACATATTCTGTATGTCTTGAATGCCTCTGTTTGGGTAGAACTGACTACCTCAGGTGCAGGGCTGAGCCTGTGTTGTAAAAAAGCACATCCACTGAAAAAGGGAACATTCTAATAAAATTTGGTGCTAATATATTTCCCTCAGTGGGTAGAAGTGTTTTCATTCCCATGTGCTTCTCAGTGTATGTGTCAAAAAAAGCACAAAGAACGAGCCTCCAAGATAAACCCATATATGGTTATCCTGCTAAAGGCCGCACTACTGTAAGGAACAATTTCCAACAACCACTTCAAGTGTGTATTCCTACAGGTTTAGTTCTGTTCGGTGTAACTGTTAACCACAATTATGTAAATATGTAGGAAGTCTCCATTCTAAACAAAGAACAGATGGTGACCCACCAAGCCATACACAACGATATATTTATGATGTTGATTTGTAGTAGATTTACGTTGCTGTGGAACAACGTTAATTCCTGGCAACATTCACAAACCATCTCTAGTGATGCTGTCCCTAGTGTGATGAGTGGCAGCAAGAATAGATTGTATTGAATGAATGCCAGGACATCACAATATTGACTTGGCTTGATTGATCACTCAAGTTGAACCCTTTACCTGTTATTTTTCCTGAGATATACAAAATCCCTCCCTAGCATTCTATTATGGGGTGATAGCATACTATTATGGGGTGACAGCAATTATAGAAGATGTTAGCAATATTTTGGGTGATTTCTCAGGAGGGTGGGTGATGTGTGATATTTAATTCCAGGGGCCATTGCTCAGTAATTAAAGTAAAAACTCTTTTGTTTCCGTATGTATTTTTTTCTTGGATCTTCTGCAAGACAATTCTCACCTTCCCCTTGTGATCAGAGCCATTCCAGGACTTCAGGGACCTATCTACTGCCTTTATTAAGAACCCCCCCAGATCACACCTCCACAGAGTCATTTCTTCTGAGGGGCCCCATTTCCATGAATGAACCCTTCCATGGGCACCGTCTCAGCAAGGAAAAAAGGTTAACCGTAGCCATCCCAGGTAAACATTTTTTCCTTGGGCACATGTAGTGCAAAATGATTAGCTTAAGTAGAAGGGGAATCCTCTCCAAGTGCTCTACATGCCATCTTTAATTTGGACATATGCTCACCTCTTCAGAAATGAGCATCCGCAAAGTACTTTCCCAAAGCTCATTTTTGACGAAGCAGATGGAGGGTTTAATACAAAAGATCTTCTACTTATTTAAATTTCTACTAAACAAAAGATATAGTGGTTCATATTTCTCTCTGGTGAAGGGTTAGATCGGTGTTTCTCAACCTTTGCAACTTCAAGGTATCTGGTGGAATTCTGGGAGTTGAAGTCCACGTATCTTAAAGTTGGGAAACACTGAGTTAGATAGTGATTTAGAAGCATCTCAGTGAAATAAGCTTCCCTGGGCCTTCTTCTCTCATTATGAACTAAGTAACTTGTAGACTTTCTAGCTCATATTAAGCCAAAGTTATGTGTTTTGCCTGGATTAAATAGCAAACATTAAGACAGATTTCCCACCCACCCCCAGTTCAGAGGTAAAAAATACTCTCTGGATAAATACTGAAGGCTGCCAACCACAGGAAAAATGACAGATAAGATCTTTTGCCCCAACATTAATTCAAAATTTGTAAAAACGGTTTATGAAGTCTCATGCAATGTGACCAGTGCTCATAAAACTTTAGCCACTAACTTTTAAATTCCCTTTCTATATATCTGTGTATAAAACATATGGGCAAAACAAAAGAGAAATATAGAAAAAAGAAATCTTTTGCATACATACTCCACTGTACATATAGAATATGATGGATATATTTTTATTCAGAAAATAGTGTTAGTCTTTTTCTCAAATTGCATTCTGTAGGAATGTTTTGATAAAAATAAGTGCTTACTTTCCCTGTGAATCATGATTAAAAATTCACATTTATAGAAGCTTAGGAAAATACTATATACACAAGGCAGAACCTAACTTATTAGCTCTAAAAGAAATACCTTTTTCATGAACTGATATGTGGAGGGCTTTGGCTGTTCTAGACCTTGGATTTTCAACAATCTTCTCCTAATAGAGTTTAGTCACTTATGCCAATCAGCTTTGCTAGTTCAAAAAGGGTGAAAATGTAACCAGTTTCCAAACATTAGTATAAATATTCAAAGAAGCCATGGGTTTACCATCGGCAGTTACTGACTCTCAAACAAAATCTTTTTATATATATATTTTTTGCAATTATTCCCAACCTGTAGCCATGATTTAAACTTAGTTTAAAATGCCAGTGTGCATTTTATGTCCAAGATTATAATCCTAGCTTATTTCTAATTGGTTTTCAAGACTTGATCCTTGCTAATTTGTAAAAGTATGAGAGCAGAGAAGATAAAGAAAAAAAAATGTTGCTTAAGCTAAATTGCTTTTTATTGCTACTCTCATCTCCATTTCTTCACTTTTCATCCTCTTTCAACATTCAGGTTTCCTTGCTCAACCCTTTCCTTATCTAGCATTTTGGCAATGTCAGAATGCTCCCGCTTTTTTTTTGCTGTGGCTTTTCACAGAAAAAAGACTATTGCTTTTAAAATGTAGATAGTACTCATTTAGAGCAAAATGAAATTTTTTTTAAAGGGGAGCAAGTGTTGATACTCAGCATTGATTGCAGATTGTTTAGGATGGGTTTGATGTTTTATAGACTAATTTATTTAATATCAACAAAACTGGGATTCCTCATCCTCATCCTTTTTGACCTGGGGCACATTAATCAGTTAGATAAAATGCTATAAAGTGATTGCCAGGCCAATCAGAAAATGAACTGCTGTCTACAGAAATATTTGTAGTGATACATAGGCAGTCAAAATATAAAACAGATTTCTTGTTTCAACAGAACTGTTTTTTTTTTAAATAAAAAATGGTTTAGTTACAGAACATAAATAAAAGACAGGGCTGAAGTCTTGTTTTCTCTCCTTCCTCCACAAAGCATAATAAATATCACTTTCACAAAAGAGAACTTGTAGTACTTCAACCACTCTCCTGTTCAACTTTAAGTTGTTGTGTGCAAATGCTGAAGAGGAATCATCTTATGATACAAAACTGCCCTATTCCATCTTGGAACTCAATGGAATTCACTTTTTAATAGAACTACAGTCTAAACTACTGTATTGGATATGAAACAGAACAATATCAACTTGTCCATTTTTCAACAATCTCAAAGAACCGAGGTTTAAAAATTGTCTAAATATCTTCTGAGTGGAGACCACAAAGAACAAGGTTAAATATAGTTTTAGGTGCTTGCTTTAAAGAAAAATCTTGCTATACATTTGCAGATCAAAGCATAGTTTCAGAGAATATGTATGTGGAGTATGTGGAGCTCAAGAATAATTAGTTTAGAAAAAAGATAGATGTTAACTAATTAGTATAAATAAAAGCTGAAAAGTCATATTGACATAGTTTCTTAGATGGAGAACCTTGACACATTTCAAGCAATTGCAGTGGTGTCACTCAACCTTTTTATAATTTCCACATTTGAAAGGATGCTCCCTCTTCTTGACTGTTGATTACAGTTTTTTATTGTTATAATATTATGCTTTATACTATGTTTGATTTTGTATACTTTAAAGAATATGAGGCAGTTTATAAATCTTAAACTATAATCCATTATATATAATCCATTATATATCCATTATATAATCCACTATATAATTTTGTGGCTGGGATTGTACTCCAGAAAATCCCACAAGCATCACCTTTATGAGCTGGTAAGTCAAACTTGACTCCTGGGGTCTAAATGCAAACATCCATGTTGGTGTTTTGTTTTATGCAAGCAGTTTGCCATTGACTTTAAAAAAACAAAAAACTTCTTACAGCTGTAGATTTCCCATCTCACCTGACTGTACAGATAGTCCTCGATTTACAACAGTTCATTTAGTGACCGTTCAAAGTTACAGCAGCACTGAAAAAAAGGACTTATGACAGTTTTTCACACTTATGACCATTCTAGTCTCCCCAGGGTCATGTGATTAAGATTCATACCCTTGGACTCATATTTATGACATTTGCAGTGTCCAAGGGTCATATGATTACCTTATAAGCAAAGTCAATAGGGAATCCAGAGTCATTTAACTACTATGTTGTTAACTTAACAATTACAGTGATTCACTTAACAATTGTGGCAAGAAAGGTCATAAAATGGGACAAATTTCATTTAACAAATATTTTGCTTAGCAACAGAAATTTTAAGCTCAGTTGAGGTTTACCTGTACTTAGTTTTTTCAAGATCAGCTAAGTGCTGTCATTTGCTGTGACCTTCCAGAACCTACTACTATGTTTTCCCCAAAATAAGTCCCAACTGGAAAATAAACCCTAGCATGATTTTTCAGGATGCTGGTAATATAAGCCCTACCCCAAAAATAAACTCCAATTAAGATTGTCAACCAGACAGATGCATTTAGTACCATATTTCTCCCAAAATAAGATTTAAGTAGAAAATAAGTCATAATGTGTCTTTTGGAGCAAAAAATAATATAAGACCCAGTGTTATTTTGGGGAAAACATGGTATCTCTATAGGACCTAGTAGATATGTACTGCACAAAGTTCTTCTTAAAAAAAATCTCCCATAAGTTTCAAAGAATTCAGGCAAAATATTATTTTATGACTAGAGTCCTGGCTGAAAAATGGA